GCCCTACCAGGCCTCCTACACCTTCCTCACCACTGGTTTGGGTCACTTGTTGTTCCCTTGTCCCTGGGTTTGTTAACAGCACTTCCTTTCCCCCCCCACATTCCCCTCTCCCTTGTTCCCTAGAACCATCGGTCCCATTGTTTTCTCCACCTGATTGCTCATCCAGCCTATCTTAGTTTGACAGACTGCAGAGATAATAACATGCACAAAAACAAGACAGAGCAAAACCAAGCAACAAAAGAAAACAAAACAACAACAAAAAAGTCAATGTCTGTTCGGTCTTTTGTGGGAATTTATTTTTTCCATTTTAGAAACTAACTGGTAAACTTCTTTTTTGTTGTTGTTATTCATGTTCTGTTGTACATTAGGTCACTGTGAGTTAGATCTGACTTGGCACTTAACGATAACAAGAATTTTACAAACAGTTAAATACATGTGTCAGAACACATTAATTTGTGCACTTAAAAGTGGGTGTGAGTCAAGAGAGATGGAAGATGGCATCCAGGTAGATTTTCCCACCAGGAGCTTCCTGCTGCCAGACCAGAAAATTAAGAGGAAAGGAGAATGAGACTGGGAGGCCAAGTATTAAAATTAGAATCAGGATACTAGAGTCTGGTCCAGACCCCTGCTTTTTTTTGAATTTTCACTGACAAAGTGAACCAAGAACACACTGAGATGCTCTTGGTTCATTGTGCTGGGCTTGCAAGCTCCACCATACCAAGCCCCTCCCAGGGTCCTAGTCCCACAGTGAGTCGCGATTGCTCCAGGCTGCTGTCTAAAAGTGGTTGTGATCCCAGACTCGAGGAGAGCCTCTGACAGCAGGTAACAGGACCCCACACCAGAGTTCCCCACCCGCTGTTGGCTACCTTTCACTTGCAGTATGGCTATAGTATTCTTGTTTTTCAGTTATTTTCCTTCAATTTTTGAAATATGTTACTCCACTCCTTCCTCTTCTTAGTTGTGTCCGCTGATACGTCTGAACATATTCTTATTTGGGTACCTTTATAAGTGACTATTTGTTTTTCCCTAGCTGGTCTTATAATTTTCCCTTTTCCTCATAGTTGGATAACCACAGATTTGCAGCAATTGAAAAGACATCAGGAAATTTATCTGTGTCAGATTGCAATTTGGCAGAGCACACACAGGTAATTAGTCCAGGGGGTGAATTCGGTTCCAGTTGGCCAGGAAGAAAACCTCTTTGATAAGCTAGATCTCCTCCCCTGGGTGTCAGTGTGACAGCCCCCAAATCAGGGCATCCCACAAGCCCAATATAAAAAGGAGAAAATATATTTTCTTCGTAAAAACTTCAAATCCCATGTGCATTGCTTAACTCCAAGACAAACCTACAGAACAAGTCCTTTAGCATACATCAGCATAGCAAATTAGCAAGCTTAAGGAATGACAGAAATTAGCTACAGAGCATAGCCCAGAGGTTTTCAACATAACAAAGAGCCTCTCTGGGGCAAACATAGTCTCAGAACAGTTCCAGAGCATAAACAGCCCATAGCCAAAGGGCTAATTTAATTCAATTCCAGTTGGCCTCTGAACTGCTGGGGCACCATCAGTCTCAGCACAAATTACAGCAACTCTGCAAGCCCAACAGGGGGACCTACTGTCTGCCCTTGGTGGACCTACACAGGGGCTGGGGAAATCCTGCCTGTCCCTTACCATCCTTATCATGGATTGGGGATCCCTTGCCTGTCCTGGGGCATTACATGTGGCTGAGGGAACTTCCTCCTGCCTGCTGCAGTGCTGCATATGACACAAGGCAGCTATACCAGTCATCTCTGCCTATGAGGGTAATTTCACCCAGTGTCTGTGGGACCCTACACCAAAGTGGGCACACCAACCCGCCACCTTGAGGCAGGCTTGGAATCCCTCCAGCCCCACTGTCAGACAATCAGGGCTCAGCTATCTCCTTACTTTTTATTCTTTTTTTCTCTCTCCCTTTTCTCTTTCCCACCACAGTCGGTC